TGTTTTCTTTTTGTTGCGCTTCTTTCTCATTTTGGGTTCTTCTTCAGGACTGCTTCCATCTCTTTTTTCAGCATTCATTCTTTCAGTTCCTGCTTTAAAGCTTTTAGGTCTCCCCGCTTTGCCTCTTGGTTCAATTTGTGTTTCAGGTGTTGCTCTTTTGCTACTTGATGATGTATCCATAACTTCTACAACGGGCAATGCTTGAGAACTGCTTGAACTTGAAGATGCTGTTGCTTTTGCTTTAGGCTTTGCCTTGGCTTGAGGCATTGCTTCATCATCAGTCGCTATGTTGAAACTTTCAGGTTTTATGGGAGCAAAACTTCTTGGTGGGTTGATGTGATGTATCTGTTCAGGTATTGTCGGTTTGTTCTGTTTAAACCCTTCACCCCTGTGGTTCATTGCTGTTTCTTCTTTTCTTTTCATTGCTCTGTCTCCTCTTTGTGTGATTTCAGCATTCAATTGAGATGCTTGTTGTGTTGAAGATGATGGCACTGTTGGGGTTGTTTGCGTTGTTAGTTCTTCATCTACATTCATAGGTTGTGTTGGTTGTGCTATTACTGGTGATGTTGTAGGTAGTTGTTGTAGTTTTTCAGTGTGATATGTTCTACCTGCTGTTCTGATGTTCTGACGCAACAAAATGTCATTCATTTGCCTCAATAATAATCTGCCTTGTTCTTCCCTTAATTGTTCCATTTGGTCTGCTCCATCAAAGTAAGAACCTTCTTGACTGTTTCTAAACATTGTTGCTGACCTATCAGGTAGGTTTCCTGTGATTTGTTCATTGCTCTCATCAATTACACCTATTATTTCTTCATAAGTAGGGCGTCGCTTCAATCCATAAATACTATATCTATCCACTTTTGCCATTATAATATAAAATATTTTAGATTAACAATATTTTATATCAAGTAAAACTTAAATTTCTAAATTGATTTATTTGATGCTGTAAGTGCTCTAAACTATTATGCGACAGGTTGTCCCTTGTATGTCATTATTAATTCTGTCTATTTGATTTCTGTAATTTACCCTTTTATTTGCTTCAATTATATCATTCCTATAAGATAATAGTTTGTCCATACTTTCTCTTCTATCCAGTTGGTCTTTCAACCATTTAAGATAAGCACTATCATAGTGTCTAAATATCCCCTGACCCGATGGTTTCCCTGCTGGTTTGCTCATTTGTTTTCTGTAGTTCAGTGTTGTTTGTTTCTTCCTGTGTGCTTGAAACATTTTCTATATTAATATTATTTAGATAATCTTGATGGTTTTTAGTTTTCAAATGTCTGCTCATACTTCCTCTTGTAATAACTTTCCCGCATTCACATTTGATTTTATCTTCCTTTTTTTCATCATATTGTTTAAAGTATTCCGGATTATCTTTACGGTATTCTTTGTTATATTCTTTGAAGTATTCTGGGTGCTCTTTTCTATATTGATTGTTTTTTATCTAAAAGGTCTGTATTGTCTTCTCTGTATTGCTTTCTGTATTCTTTCCGTGGGTTGTTTATATATCGCTGTCTTTCATAATCCTGTAAATGCTCCTTTTTATCTTCCTTCCACTCCTCCATTGTTCTTAATGGTATTTGTATGTTCAATACCGGCTTTATTTCTAATATGTAGTGTCGCTCTCTCTTTTGTAGTTCTTCAACATCATTACAAGGGCATGTTTCAATTTCTTCAATGTAAAAATGTTCAACTCCCATCTCAATCATTTTAGCATACAATTTTCTATGCTTTGTCTTTTCATTGTCAATTTGTATTTTTATGTTTGTTAAATCGTCTTTTTAGTGTTTGAGTTGTGCTTCCAATGTAAATGTCATCATCTACATAATTCCCAATGAAATATATATTTTACCCTTTTGATACTTTTTATCACCTAAACTCACCATTAATTACTATAAATAACTTGTTTTTAAGTATATATATTTTATAGTAATTAATTTATTGATTTGCTCACCTAATCGAAAACAATAGTCCCACTTTCTGTCAATTCTACCACGCTCTCACTAACTAAATGAACCATTATTTCTTGTATCTGCTCTGCTTCTGCTAAACTTCCCTCTGTTCCTTTGATTTTAAAAGTGATTAAACTTCCGGACTTGGTATTGGTGCCGGTAAAATTAACATCTGGCATCTTCTCCAGTGAAAAAGCCATTACAAATTTGTTCTCTTTGTATTGTTTATAACTGATATTCAAACTGTTTTGGTCAGCATTCAGAAAATGAAGTGTCCGGCGTAAAAAGTAGAATGCTTCAGATAAACTACTCACTTCGAACTCTGGGTACTTCTTTGAAGCGATTTGAAGTTGGTAAGTAAGTGCTCTACTGCTGTCAGCAAAGCCTTTACCTGCTTGTGCTGGTATGTTTTCAGGGTCTCCACCATCACTGATTTGCCCCCATATCATAGGGTTGTAAAAGTAGTTCCACCTCTTATAAACATAATTATCCACTAAATAAATAGCATATACTTCCCCACCTCTTGGTTGTCGGTATAAAGTAATAAATGCATTTGTTAATTTTGATGCTGACTTAACAATATTCATATTAATTTCTCCGCCTCCAGTGTTAAATGTTTGAGTGATAGTATGATATTGTGGGACAACTAATTTTAATGATTGACCTTCCAATAAATGGTTTGTAATGTTATTATCAACTGTATTATCCAATGTGATTACATCAGCACGGATAATAACATTGTTAATTTCCCAACTGGTTGAAGTGTTGCCATCTTGAAAGTAGTATCCGTTTTTGTCGGTTTGTGTTGTTCCATTCCCTTGGGGGACTAGATGATTCAAGGACCACTGTTTCGGCTCACAAGGATTATTTATATATGTATATAATATGTTTTTTAATGGGTTATGATAATGGGTCATAACATGATTATTGGTCATGATTACACCGCTTTACAATAGGTCATAATGAGACTCTCTAACTGGCTACCGCTGAAAGCTCCCGAAATTGAACATGGTTAGGGTATTTACCATCCATTTTGGGATAATTGAGACCCGTCCCCACACTTGACCTATGGGTAAAACCTTTGTTATGTCAGGGTCATGTTCTCATGGTGTGTTGATTGATATTCCCATTCAAATGAGATCCTGAGTGTTTTTTGACCATTTGTGGCCAAAACCGCCCTAAAGATAGTTGAAACCACCAACCCGCTTACGTATGCTTACGTAACTAGTCGGTAACTACCCCGATTTGCCGTTGTAGTCTCACGAAGAAGTCTTATTTTAAAAAAACGGGCAAACCGCCAAACCGCACATGGAAGGCAACCACTTTTTTGGGACATATCGCTGGCTATCAACTACAGTGACGATGGAGTCTCATTGCGAAAGACGTTTGCTTGACGGATCAATTTGCCTTTGGGGGGAAGCTCGATTCAAGAATTTGGCACCAATAGACCCACCATGATTGATGCAGCAGAAAAGAATCCACTGGTTTTTAGGGATAGGAAATTTGAACCATGGCCCGTTCTTGTACTTCAGACTTCAGACATCTTTAGATGCTGGTCCGCACCAATGTAATCTTCCGATGCCTTGTACATCACATGGTTCTTGATGCTTGGCCACACAGCCGAGTTGGGCAAACGCACAAACCAAAGGTCTACCCTAAAACAAGCGAGATGTTATCCTGTTTACCAATCTCGGCAAATGACCACAAAGAATAACAACGATCTATTTTTATATAAAAGAAACGTAGTATATAAGTATTTGGTTGGTGGTGTCAACCCCTCTGAAAAATATGAAAGTCAGTTGGGATGATTATTCCCAATATATGGGTATGAATCAATACCTATTAATACCATTTTTAGTGGGATGAACATCCATTTACCAGCTATTTTGGGGTTCACTAGGTACCAGGGTTTTGACCCATCCCCATATGGAAAAATAAAAGCCATGTTCCAAACCACCAATCAGGTATAATGTGGTAGACAGCCATAGACCTCCCGAAAAATGGGGATGGCACCAATCATGGTGATTTACAGCGGATGGATTCTGCCCCCGGAGCCTCGGTACGTAGACTGCCGCACTTGGCGCAGAAGAGCGAGTTTTCACGCTCGTACCTGACAGGAAACCATGGGATAAAAGCAGCACAGATTGGGACATTTCTCAAGTCAAATGGTGGATTTAGCCATCAAAACAGGAAATTCAAGCAACAACTATGACATTCAATGGGTTGGTTTGAGTTTCAGCGAAACTTGGCAGGCAATCATGTGAATCGGATTTCTTGTATAATGTCCCCGCATTCAATTGTAAATCAAGTCATATTAGCCGTAGCCCACAACAGCATGGCTTGCCAAGACTGGCCATCACTCGGTCATCTCCCAGGCCCAGAAAAGCCAGGTACGGAATCATCTTTCCAAAAGCAAACAGATCAACCAAGACATTTTTAAGTGTTTATATAAGTGTGTATATATGTATATGCAGTATACATACACATTTGTCACATAATAATGACATACTTATCAGATATAATATGATATAATTTAACTATTTAATATATAATCATGTGTACACATTACATTACATATTATGATGTCTCAAGATGCAGATCTGGATGGCTGAAGACTGAAGGTCATAGTGCCACCCTATACACTATACAGTCTCTTGATGGTTCGTGCAACACAACGCATCGCCACAATCCATAGATCATTGCTTGCTATTTCTATGGCTAATCTTAGATACCCGGCAACAAAAAAATAGGTTTGAATATTTCAAATATACCCGTCAAAGAGCTACAAATGCTTTTAGCTGGGAATGCGACCCTCTCATGTGCATCCACTTATTGCAAAAGATTGAAGTATATTAATTAAATTTAATTAAAGTATATGTTAAACTGTTAAACTACACAACCAACGGTTGCCCAGGTTCTCAGCAATCAGCTCCCATTGATCTCATTGATTCAATTTGATTCATTGTTGTCCTCCGATGAATGGAAAGGAGAAAACATCTGAAACATGTAAAGTTCAAAAAAAAGGACCCCCAATCCATTCCTCCACTATACTGCCGCTGCATTCAAGTGACGGTTGGCCACACTTGGGGCAAGCAGCCTGCAAGGACATCTGTCTTGGGATTCACCGTAAATCCCATCATCCCGTTCTTCGCACCCCTCTTTGCTGGGAAAAAAAACACCTTCCCAAATCACATCAGATTCCAAATATTCCAATCTCCATGAAAAGCGCTATTGTATGCCATAAATTGCCTCAAAATGAACCTGACAAATTTTTGGCGAAGTTCCCTATGGCGCGAGGACTGGCCCCCAAGGTCGCCTTCACCTCGCGCTCAGCCGAGGGCATCGACAGCATACCTGACGTACCTCCACCAGCTTCAATGGATGGATTGGAGATTCAATGATTTCAATGGAGCTTGTTTTCAAAAAAAAAACAGAAATATTGAATCATTGATTTTTGTGAATCAGAAATATTTTGAAATATTGAAAAAAAAACAGAATTACGGACAATGAAAATGTTGTATTACAAATCATTGTCCGTTGTGATCATTTAGTCTGCCGTTCTGAAGCGACAAGAGAACTGAATGAAGTCGCACCAACGAGTCAAAGACTGACATGATTGATCACCGTCATCCCTTGGCACGTTCCAATCAGAAAACATGGCTCTCATGGGGTAAACCCTGTAAATGTTCACTTCAACCAATTCTGAGAAGTGTGATGCTATTTTATCTATTTTGGAATCATCATTCCAGGTATCAACAATTATCAACAGATAGTTGGTTTGGATTCCTTGCAACCCCTTGTGAAAGAGATTGTCAGTAGGGAATTAGCAAATCCAAAGCATCGGAAAAATCACCAAACCCTCTTGAAACCACTAGACAAGTTGAGAACCAGAAAGTGAAGCAGAGGCTTATCTCCAGATTATCAGAGATTCACCTTCAACAGGAACCATGGAAACAGCGAGGTGTTCAGAATGGGACAAAGAAAAAGTGTCTAAAAAGTATCCAACCTTCTCTTTTTCGTCACTCATTTTGGCCCCAAAATAAGTACCCAGCTGCAACGCGGATCACATCTCTTCGCATTTTCGGCAGGTGAATCATCCAACTTTTTGGGAATCCCGTCGCTGGGACGTCAGATGATGAATGGATGGTGACCGTGAAAATCCTTTATAAAAAGCCGCGCCGGTGACGGCGGTCACTTAAAATGGTGAGTTGAACTATGTTGAACTTACTGAAGGCATGTTGAACTTGGAAAGTGATAGAGTGTTTGAAAGCCACACAGAATAATGGTGAACTTGGGATGTCCCAGCAATTTGGGTGCCCCTACTGATCCTAGTGACGTCATGATGGACGTCGTTATAATTCACCCAGAATCATGAATAGCAATGGCAGATAGCTCAAGATATTTCACTAGGTAGTCTGTAATTATCACAAGAGGAATTTTATTCCTGTGGAAAGTTTTAGATACCCTGCTAGAAAAAGTCGACTTTGACCCGGTGTCCTGTGGTATTGAAAGAATTCATGGCCAAGCATCATCCTATCAACCGACCCAATCATGATCAGCTAAGTGACCATTTCAGGGTCTCAAGTAACCTTCAACCAAGGCCATCCCCGCATCAATCCACATCAATTCACAGGGGTACCTAGCAAAATATAAGCTCTTTTCAAGGGATATGTAAGGGGATATACCTCCCAAATATGGCTTTATATTACAGTACCTCCAGTTTAGATACCTGAAATGGTCATTGATTGGTAATAACTTGTTAATCGCTATGGTTATAGCTAACCATGCCCAATTTCAGCTGACTTTTTAGGTAGATGTTCCCGTTCATTACCATGGTACTGGAAATCAATATCAATCTGGGTCATGAATGAATGATAATAACTACCCTCTGGTTATTTAACATAGCTCTGGAACATGGCCCATTTATAGATGATAAAAGTGATGATGTACGGAACTTGAAAATGCGGATATTCCACGGCTACGTCAAATAACTCCCACCATTGTTCATGGTCAAATCATGGTCAAAATCCCTATTTTTCATGGTCAAATCCTAAAGAAATCCTGAAGAATCTCTAGGCTGTGTCCTGATCGCTGGTCGTACCTTGTGGTGTACTTCGAATGCTCGCGAGGCTGGCAACTTCCAAGGCTCCGGAATCCAGCATGGGACCTCCAAAATCCGAGTTCTGGGGAGGCTAAGCGGCAATTTACCGCCAGATTCGAGTGCCGGGCATGTGAACCATTAATATTCCCATAATATTCCCATAATATTCCCATAATATTCCCATCATATTCCCATCATATTCCCATAATATTCCCATAATATTCCCATAATATTCCCATCATATTCCCATAATATTCCCATAACCACAATAAGTGGTGGATGTTTCGTGTTGACTCAATTCTACAGTTGCGTAGGGAGGCATCGCAAACTCACTGTCGTGTACAATAGACCAAGCGTCAAGAACAAGCTATAGAAATAGAATGTTTCACAACCAACATGTAAAGAAATGATCTATAGATATCTAATGATATCTATAGGATTTTTTTCAGGGTCCAAAAAAATAGAACAATGTTTCGAGGATCTGAGTTCGATGATGTCTCCTCAAATAAAAAACCATGGCATTGACTTGGACGATCCGAGTTTCTAATTTGCTCACAATAATTATGTTTAGAAAACTACCACTGTAACCCAAGCATGATGATTAAGCACATATTACATATATATACATATATATATATATATATATTACATATATATATATTACATATATATATATATTACATATGTGTATATATATATTACATATGTGTATATATATATATATTATATATTAGTGCTAATTGAGATTCTATCTCTATACATCATTGGTAATCATGATATATTATCCAGTAGCTAACTCGGACTCGACATCCTTGAGCCCAGTCCATCAAGAGTGACACCTGCTGGCATGGCGGCGCGCTGTCTTTCGCCCATTTGGCCTATCCCAAGCTGAAACCCCAATCAACTGGGATACTGGGGAGGGTTCTTAGAATGGAGGATCCCCAGTCGTCACCATGGGTGGTCCTATGTTTGGAAACCTCCAAATCCTGCCAAAGAGTGGCTAGAAAGTAAAGAATTGCTGATAACACCAAGTGTAAGTGGATATTGTAAGTTGATGTAAGTTTCTGGTGTTCACTCTCTGCCAGCTGCATGTTTGACCTTTTGAAGCGTCACAATACCCTCCAACACCCAGCTGGTTTGTGGTTTCAAGCCCCTCCGAGAGAGATATAAGCAGTCACTCTTTCGTTTTGGCTGCACAGGTCTGCTGGCCTCAAGCAACTCGAAAGATATACTAGTCAGTTGGGGTAAGTTGTTCGAAGCTTCCCAAGTCTACAGGGAAGTTTCCTAAAGTGGGGGTACCCCAAATCATCCAGTCGTCATTAGACCATTTTAGTATTTTCCACCCATGGTGACTTGGGGATCCCCTATTTGAAGAAACCCCCATATATCCATATATACACATATAATATCATATAGTATCATATAATATATATATGTGGGTTTTCAGATTGAGGATCCATGCCATGCGCCAACTGGTGGATTCATATCATTCCCCACACTTAGTCTGTTCTTGTCCAGGACCCAAGGGTTCTGCGGGGAAAAGTCACCCAGAAAATTGCAATTGGGACTTCACTCATGATATCAATCATTACAAGTTGGAGATAGTTGACAAGCAAACCAGGGCACATTCCTCTGTTAGTTGGTTGCTTCAGCCCATCCCTAACAATAATCACTCAAATGGGTTTGTCTGAAAATAGGGTATATTCCCAATTATAGCCATTTAATAGGGATAATGATCATTAACCATTGGGTTTAGGGGTCAACATCATTCCATTTTGAAGACTGAAAGTAGAAGAAACCCCACCTGTCCTACAGCCCACCTGCCAAGGTTCCAATCGGGGCGCTCGCTGAGCTGAGAGCTTGCTGCAACTTTTGCACCTGGCGGTTGAACCCAAAAACAACAGCAAAAATGGATATCAAACCAGCGAAAATCAGGATGTTTGCCCTCCGGTAATCCAACATGGCTTAGCTGGAAAATCCCCGTGAACGAGATCGAGCTTTATAGCTGGGAACATATCAAACCAAATGGTGGATTTTCCAGCAAGCCATGTTTGATTGCCGGAGAGTAACAACCACATAGGGGATATACATGGACATACTGGGACATAAAGAGATATGTATTGTATAACCAGCTGTATATGGTTTCGTCTGAAAATGGAAAATATCCGTTTTCATATGCTGATTTTCGCAGCGGATGGTTCATGGAGTACCATTGGACCATGGTCCTCTCACCAAGGGGATGCCCAAAATCCATGGACCAGTGAGACCCCAAGGGTTTGATAACCATGATGGCCATCTTCGTTCTAACGTTCTATTACTGGGATTCCCAGCGAATCATCCTGGTAAGGGATTCCGAAAACATGCTTTAAGCAGCAACCAGAAATGTGTGTCTTCTCAAAAGTGTTTTTGGCATGCTTGCAGGTGTGTTAAATGATTGTTAATTGCCGATTCAAAGTCTACCTGTTTGCGGAATATAATTCTTGGGTAAGACGCACTTGAACCAAAAAGAAGAAAGAATCTAAACGACATATGGCATATTAGAATATCAATATCTCTACAGTATTTGAAAAGAATCTTTTATAGCCTTTTAACTGTCCTTTATATTTAAAGAAATTTGATATGGTTACATTCCATCCATGACGAGTATACGATTACCATCCATTACCTGGGCTGAAGCCTTCCAAGTGCCTCCTGCGCCAGATTCGAAAGCTTCTCAGCAGTCTGCTCCTGACCACGCTAAGCAGGGGGATCACACTTGTTTTCGAGGCCTCTGGGATGGTCTGGAATTGTCAGCACTTCATTGAATTGGCAGTGTGTCAAAACCTTGTACCCCTGGTGAACATCAAAATAGCTGGTAAATGGATGTTAATCCCCCTAAAAATGGTATTAATAGGTATTGATCCATACCCAATTAACATCTTCCAAAAAACTTGGAGAATTGAAACGTTTCTAGAAAATACTTGAAACCACAGCAGCCAAATGAAAAATAAACGATGAACCACCATCAACCGACGCCCATTCTCTGGTAAAGGATGGATATGACATCTTCTGATGTTCCAGAGCCATTCCAATTTGCTAGGGGTGACATTTTAGTGGGTCAAGTGGGGTTTCACCACGACTTTTCCCAATGAAGCGTGGATGGACGACACATTGACATCACGAATTCGATGAGTTCATCGGTTTGCTGGTTGAGCCACATTTCGACGCTGAAAATTCGGCCAAAATCTCGAAGGCACCATTCGCATCAACGTCTTTATCTTGCGCTGCAAGTCCAGCCATTGGATACCACTAGACTCGATTTGCTTCAAAGTTCATGAAATGATATGGTATGATATAGGTATGGCGTCAAAACACTGGTGCCCTTCTGTTCACACCAAAATTTAGCTGGGATTTATGGATGTTCATCCCCCGCAAACATGGGAAGTCTGGATAGATTTCAATTTTCGTATGAAATGATCAAAGTCTGCGTTGCTCGCCTTCAAATCTTGGGGCATCTGCCGGAGACTGTACACCCTGCGGCTGCGGAAGGTGGTGGTCGTGGCGGGAGCCAAGTTTTCCAACCAGGATGGCGACATATGGAGAGAGTACAGTGATACCCCACCAGATAGAGAAAGTAAATCATCAAACATGACTCATTTACATTCATTTGATGTAAGATTCGGGATGTATTATGTTACAGCAAATGAATGTAAATGAGTCATGTTTGATGATTGGGAAATACATCCCGAATCTTACAGCATATTATGTATTATTATGTTATATAAGTTTATACTGTCAGATGGTTGGGAAAGTGTTTTCATAGCTCGAAGTCCCAGAATTGGAATCTGGACACCCTTAGCTCCCAAGCTGGGTCCAGTCATTGGACCTGACATGTGTTGACCCGTACCAAACTGCTTGGTGGTTTTTCGCCCTACCCCTCTGAAAAATGATGGAGTGAAAGTCAGTTGGGATGATGAGATTCCCAACTGAATGGAAAGTCATTCAAAATTCCATGGTTCCAGTCACCACCATTAATCCATTTTTTCATCCCCATTAAGCCACCATTAATCCCCATTTCTAGTCACTATGAAAAACCACCATTAAGTCATAACAACCAGCAAAGTCATTGGGAAGACGGGGGTTGACCATGGTTCACCGTTGGAAGGATCACGTACGGGAATCTTGGTGCCGTCTATGGCAGAGTCGAAGGTTGGCAGCGTTGCGATTTGGCAATTTGTCTCGCCCAAAAAATAACCCCGAGATTTCTTCATGTTCAACCAACACCAACCAACATCAACCAACATCAAAATCTACCCGGCCTGGTAAACGTTAACAAAGTTAGCTATTGAAAATGGCCCAGTCGAAATAGTGGATAAAAACCCATTAATAGCATGGTGATTGTCCATAGTTATGTTAGTTTACCAGAGGATATCAACCCTCCATGTGTCCAACCAGCCCCACGCGTCCATAATCGTCCAACATATCTCCGCCTGAAGTAGGGCCGCGGCTGCCGCAGGGACCGCAGAAAGTCGGCAGGCGCCAGCAAGAGACCATCCTCTGCCCGTTGATCCCAAAGAAATGGAGATTGACCAACCAAAATGTATAGAACATATTAGATATCACCAAAATGTATAGAACAACAAATCTCAAAATGGGGATTGACCAACCATAATAGAACATATTAGAACAACAAATCGTAGATTGAGATGATGTTCACCAATCATTATAATCATTGGGATATCACATTGGGAAAATGGGGAGAAGAAACAAGTGAAATGGGATAATTAATGATAATTATACTTTTGACCATAATTAGGACTTTAACCTTTCACCAATAAATATGGAGATAGCATGTAACCAATGAAATGTGGGAACTCTAAGCAAGCCAAAATGGGGATATCAAAGGCCAACGAAAAGGATTAACCAAGCTGTGATAGTCCTTGAAGATACTGTACCGACCTTGCAGTGCATGTTTGAAATAAGCAATTGGAAAACTGGTAACTACCGTATGAGGTCAAGATCATGCTTGACTTTCTGGAAATATGTTCCAACTATGATAAGAATGCTCTCTCAAAATGAGATCGAACCCCTTAAAAAGCAGGTCGAAGATGATATCTCTGGTTCCATCTTCAATTTCGGGGAGGTGAGGTCCTACCCCCAATCATCACTAGCAAGTGCTGATACTGTCCTGACGTTGTTGATGCGCCCAGCTTTGCAAGCTACCCCAAGCTGAAGTATTCCAAAGTAATGTCAATTGGAAACACTGTGGAAACATTTCAGTCCCAGCAATCCTCATCAAACACCGCTTGATCGTCGAAGCCAACTTCGAAGTAGTGGTTGATGTTCTGCCAGCACTGATGCATTTCCCGGAAAGAGCTTGTTGATTGCGCCAAGGTTGACGTCGAGTGAGGGATAGATCTTTGAAGTAGACTGAAAAGTGGACAAATATCTACAAATTGAAGAACCAAACGCTTGGTGCATGACATGTCAGATCCCAAGGAGTTTTAGCAACGCAAACACAGAAGCACCATTGGAAATGTCATGTCGTCTGTCTTCATTGCAACGTCCAAACATTGCCCATGTTGAAGCACGGATTGTGGCTGAGCCACCCCAAAAATTGTGGTTTCGGATCATCAACCCTTTGTTTTTTCGGGCTCATTTCAGCATGCCATCAAAAATCAACTCAGATTACATGTCAAGTCAAGTTACCATCTGGTTATTTAACAGTTCGCCATGGAAAATCCCAACCATAAATGGAGGTTTCTAGCTGGGAAAATCATCTATAAATGGGCCATTTATACCATGGCGAACTGTTAGTCATAACCAGAGGGTATATCAAGTTATGTCCTGCATCCGATTAGATTAGCGTCCAAGGCAGCGCTAAAGCATGGTCCCTTGGGGACTGCATTGGATTTTCCCTTGGGGAATCTGATGAAAAACTGAACTCCATGGATCTGGGAAATGGATTTCAGGTGGATTTTCAAAGATTGTAAAAGTATTTTTTCCACCTGCAAAGATGCGTCTACCCCAAAAAAAAACAACATGGGTGTGTTTGGCGTTGGAGATTGATCAATTTTGGTCTAAAAACCACAACACAGAAGGCCTCTTTCAGGGTGCTGGCGAACTCTTCGGACTGGATCAAGGCGCCCATATCTTCCAGGTTGAACCAGTCGTAGGGCTGTCCCTGGGTAAGTCCCCAAGGGTCGAGGTCTTGAGACAGGAACTCAATTTTTTCAGGACCAAGTGAGCCCAGAGCACCTTCTGTGAGTCTAGAAATCTACTTGCTGCTTGATACAGACAAAAAAGGTACTGGATTAACATCCCCATCATCTACTCCACTTAGAAAAAAATAGAGCAGCCATAGCTCACTGGTTACAGTACTGGTTCCAACTGGTATGAACTGCATTCACCGGTTAGACACCCAGGCCCCATGTCAATGAACTCCACATATACAATCATATACATATATAATTACCCTCTGGCTTTTTAACATAGCCATGGAAAATGGCCCATAGAAATAGATGGTTTACACCTGGGTTTACCTATTAATAGCATGGTGATTTTCCATGGCGAACTGTTAGTCATAACCAGATGGTAATATCAATACATATCATTCTGGGTAAATTATAATATTTCACTAACCTGAATTGTTGGGCCATTTGGGCATGATTTCCCTTACTAACCATGATTCCAGTGAGGTCGCAGTGAGGTCGTTATAATTGACCCAGATATCATAGAAAGCCATCAAGCAGAAACAACGGATTGATCCGCTACACCTTCACACCACCTAACCGGCTCACCACCATGATCCACCAGGGGATCCACCATGGCCCACCTTGTATTCCACTCGCAGCATCCGGCTCCGGGGTATCTCCGGCCTCCCGTTTCAAAAACGACGCGATGAAGCCGATGCATCCGATGATCAAAATCTCCAGCGCCAAAAAAATGTATTTTCCTGTGCTCAAAAAAAATACTTCAATACCAAATGTTACGCATATATATATATAACAAATTATATGCATATATATAACATTATAACAAATGATATTTACTCATGCTCTCACATGATACCATATCCAGTTTGTGTCCCGTTAAAAAAGGGCTGTATATCCTCATATCCCCATGATTCTTGAGCGCACCTCCCTGCACAGGCCATGGCCCCTGGGCATTAGGCCCAAAGACGGGTCGGGTGGTGGTTCATGGTCAGTCAGTCCTCCAATTGGGGTTCTCAAATTCTGAAGGGACTTATAGGACATCATTGACATCATACTGTAACTTATGCTCCATATCGACTTATGGGACATCATGGGACATCATAACCATGCTGCATGTGCTATCGAGTTCCCAAGTGGGATGATGCTCCAAATACTGGGTTTCACATTTAAATAGCTACTAGTTATGGATGTTCATCCCCCACAAAATTTATCGCTGATCACCATAGCGACCCCAAAAAGAAAAATATCGATGCAATATGTTTTTTGCAGCCAGAAAAGTATAGCATGCGTCTATTTATGGATAAAAATGAATCCATCAATGCTCATCAATCTACATCAATCTACAAAGGGTTACTACGCCATACCAAATCAATGGGGCAGTACAAGTACTTGCAATCTCTTGCTGCTTTCTAAGCCCATGATGAGTTTAGCAATAGGCACCTCATCGCCAAGTGGCCAGTGGAAGCAACTTCCGCAAGAGAGGAGATGCGGGCTACATCATTTGATGCGTTTGTCTGGGAGTTGCGTCTGCTTTTCTACCAGAGTCTACCGGAAAAGGTCAGGCGTTCGGGGGATCAAAGACTGGGAAGCCAAGACGTTGCGTTCATGATATATATATATAATTGTATATATTATATATATATGTTCATGAAAAACGCACCTCTCAAAAACACCGTTTTTGAGAACGCCCGAAACCGCGCATATGTAGTGTATATGTTTTTGTAATATAAATGCTGCTTCCTGACCATTCTGAGTGGGAGAAACATGAATGGCACCACTCCGGCCACTCAGACACTCCCAATTTTCAGCTTTTCCAAACACTTCAATCACTTTCTATGGCAGCCGCTAGAGGCAGCGTGTCATCACTCGGAGTTGTTGTTGTTTTAAGCGTCAAAGGTGTATGTGATTCATGACTGAGCCACAATGGCGAAGCTCGGCCGAGCCACAATGGCAACCTTGTGACAACAAGGATAGCTGTATGCTGAGTATGCTGAGAAGCGATATGACAGATACTGTATAGAGATTCACGCAACATACCTTCCAGGATGGGAAGTGAAGCCATGGAGCCACATTTGTCACAACTGTTCGAAAAAGAGGTTTTTGGACCCGCAGAAACAGAACTTTGACATACTTTGACCCTGCTGGAGTGAAAACACCACCTGAAGCCTCTTGATTAGTCATCATTTTGGGAACGAAACTCCTTGTTTCTTGCATCTCCAGCTTTGACACACCTGAAGCATCAAGACATCTCCGGAACCAGATAGCTACACCCATGTTATAGCATGAAATAAAGCTCCCCAGAGATTCATGTTGCTTTGTCTTAAAATATGCGTAGCCCAAAAATCCAGGTCTATTACCATGTTCCCATCAAAACCATTGGCTAATCCATTCTGGGGCAAAGACATGCCAGTTTCAGAGAATTACCCATTTTACCAAAAAAAGCCATCCGCTGCTGGGCCACCTCTTTTCATCTACGGCCTGTGCCCACCGGTTTCTGGGTTTCCCCTCGTCCGCCCGCTAGGCGGAGGCCGAACGCGAGGGAACCTAAACAGAATCTGAATCCTGGAACCCCAAAGGGCTGGGTAATTTGTCAATGCCTAGTCTGGTTGTGGTGATGTCATGATGAATGCCAGGTTCAAATTAAGGTCCCAGGCTAGCATAAAATCGCCCAGCGCATGTCACAGATGACAGCAGCGTTCCCTTGGGTAAGATATCCCAATGTGGCTGGAAGAGTGGTGAGGTCGCAGCCCCAGATGGCATGGCTTCCTCCAAAAAAACGAATAAAAAAACACCAGTTTCGATGAAATGGCCTGGGCCCCCCAGGCCTCCAATTTCCAGCCAGTATTTGTTTCATATGTAGGAAATATCTGGAAATAATTGGAAATATATGCAGAATTGTGATACATCAGTATGTACATTCCACTTGCATGGCACTTCCCCTTCACCACAATCTGTTCAATCTGTTGGTCACTGCTGTCTTTTTCCGCCAGGCTGCGCTCAAAAAGGTCAGGCGACTCCCTTGGGGGTCGTCCAATGGTGGAGAGTGACCCGGGGCGATCGAAAACAGATCAGTTCGCCATGAGCATCATGGTCATGAACCATCCCCGATATATTCGGTACCATCTGGTATTTAACAGTTCGCCATGGAAAATCCCCATGCTATTAATAGGTAAACCCAGGTAAACCATCTATTTCGATTAGGGCCATTTTCCATGGCTATGTTAGATAACTAGACGGTAAATCGAAAAAAAAAAGAGCTTTATGGCATTGTGTTTACCACATGTGATGAAAAATGTATCCATGGATTAACCCATCCTGGTTGGATTGTGGTGATCTCGCATGACCATCCGTCAGCTGGCTCTCCACTCACGTTACGAAACTGCCGCCAGTTTGTTGCTGGAAGGGATCAACAACTGTGATGTATCCTAGCAATTTTGGGATGGTGTGGGAGATCCTGGTGACTACGTGGTGATAGTGGGTGAAATGTTTATATATGTTTGAAACAGGAGATGTGGATACAGAATGATTTTCCAGCTTTTGGAACCCTTCGCTGCCAAGGAAGTGAGGGTAGTGGAGCTGAGCTGATAGACTCCTTGGTACATTGCTCCGAAAATACTCATGGGGGTTTGGCTCACTCAGTGGGTACCAATGTTGCCACCTTTTTCAGTCGCCACATTTTGGGGTGAATGGTTTTGAGCCTTTCTCTTACTAATTAGATGTAATTAGTATCTTCCGTTTTCCGCCCTGAAATTGGGATGAACTGAGGTATCAGCATCCGATTGCCATTCAACAATGGGAGGTTCTACAACGTTCTACATGTGTAATCATCAAAACTGGGCTGGTGAACTTCCTGCAAAGACACCGAGAATCTCACTGGTTAAATCCCAACTAGGGACGGGGACGGTGGCCTGGAGATATTCAGATTGGATCAGATTGCTTGGTCCAGTAGAAACCATCTGGCAGCCGTCAAATGATATCGCTGGCTCTCTCTAAACCTTGGCGATTCGGGGGGGGTGGGCTTCACCCTGGTGGGCAAGATATCGTTGTGTGGTCACTGTCAAAACAAACACATGACAAGCAGGAAAGTGAGCAGATGTTGGCCACATGCATGGCCAACCTTTCAAGATACTCACGGCAAAAAAAAAAACTTCTAAAAAAAAACGTGTATTACAGTAGCATTTATGAATCTCCCCCATCAGAATGGAACATAAAAGCTTGAAAAGATATTTTTTGGCTGCATCAAAATTGCCGAAAAGAAAGCTATTTGTTCATTTAAATTCTCACCTATCATCACCAGCACCACTTCACCAGAGTTTACACCTCTGCAAGATGCTACATGTTTTTTTGCACACAACAAGGTCCCCCTGATTTTATTCTGAACATATATCCTGGGCAAACACCCTAAGTGCCAGACTCACCCCGAGACTATGCGCCGTCTTGGCACTCTTCAGAGGTGTCCGCTGATTCACCTTCACGTTGTTGCCGTGGCACTGGCGCAAGCCGCAAGGACCGCAAGGATGGGTGGTGGATGCCATTCAAAGGAACCATTGCAGCAGTGGAAAATAAGATACCGAGTGAAAAGTCCACCGTGCGATAAAGACCACCAGGACCATAAAACATGTTTATATAATTTATATAGTATTGTTTAGTATTGGCCCGGTACATTAACCTTCACTATTCACTGGCATCGTGTGTGGAGGATCACCCAGATTTAACCCACAAATAGCGAAGTTGACTTGTAAGATTCTGTAAGACCTCCGGGACCACAGATGTTGGGATTATTTTTTAGTGCGCGCCTTGTACGTGAGGGACCATGGGTTTTTTCTGTTGGTCTTTCAAGATTGAATCATGAATGTGTCATGTTTGCATGCAGCCGTTTGGTAGGTTTGTGTAAGTGTATCATGTGATAATTCATGTAAGTGGAGCGTCAGAAGCATCATCTGTTACCCTCTGGTAAACTAACATAGCTATTGAAAATAGCCATTTATAGTGGATTTTCCCATTAAAAATGGTGATGTTCCATAGTTATGTTAGTTTACCGGAGGGTACTTCAAATTTGATTGGCCTTCTGTTTCATTGTTTCAGTAAGTTCATACGACCTAACATGTTCCAACGTACTGACCACGAAATTGATGTTGACGCAGCAGCATAGAACAGTAACAGCGGGGATGAATACCAGAAGTCAGGACAGACATGTGGGGATGGGTCAAAACCCTGGTACCCCTGGTGAACATCAAAATAGCTGGTAAATGGATGTTCATCCCACTAAAAATGTATCTATAGGTATTGACCCACTGCCATATGGGTCCAAGCTTTAACGTACAACTGACTGGCTGTGCCGCCACAACTCCAAAGAAAGCGGGGCGAATGCAGTGCGAAAGATCCTCAAAGCAGGACTGGGGATGTACTATAAGAAGCTCAAGAAGTAGAGAGAAAAAGTAGAAGTTGCGTCCTTGATGATTTCTTCTTCCCATATCAAGGCCAAGGAACGTTATTAGCCCCCCCCGCACCCCACCCCCCATGTGTCTTGGCAAGCAAGGGAGAACACAGTGCATACATTTGGATACACGGTCCGTGAGGTCCGTGAGGTACCTTTTAGTAGCTGCTCATCCCAATGTTACCCTCTGGTAATTTAACATAGCTATGGAAAATCACCATTTTTAATGGGAAAATCCACTATAAATGGCCATTTTCAATAGCTATGTTAGTTTACCGGAGGGTAGGACCCAAGTTTTTTCGGAGATTGTTGGTCGCTCGCCCAGCACCATCTTGTGGATCCCAGGATATTGCCCGATCTCTTTGCGACAAAAAAAACCATCCAAGATCTTAAATAAAGATGAATTGACGTTTAAAAAAAATCTTTGGATAAGCAGATCTTTATCTGGTTGGTGGTTTCAACTCCTCTCAAAAATATGAAAGTCAGTTGGGATGATTATTCCCAACATCTGGAAAAATAAAAGACATGTTCCAAACCACCAACCAGTCATGTTTAGCCCAACCCCATACGGGTCATATGGATTTGTCAGAAATGGTGCTAGCTGGTATCCCTAAATCTACTGGTTGATCATGATGGTCCCTAGTAAGAAACTCATATCTTGGGGATGGGAGTCTTCATTTTTAGGGCACACCGGTATCATATAATATTGTTGGGTGTAATATCTATATTATCAATACATATATAATATATTTATATTTATATCAATATATGTTCCATTTTAGCCACAATAAAAAGATTAAAAAGAAATCAGAATAAATATATCCCAACATGTCCATAATTTCCAATTCAAACATAACAATGCCACAACTTCCCGCAATATATATCCCACACGAATCGATCTTTTAGGATCACATCCCCTGTGAAAAAAAATGCGATTTCATCACATCCAAAAATCCCATCAGTAAATTGAAATGATGATGTTGATGGGATTTTTCCATGTACCCAACCTGGTTATGACATTCACAGTTTGCCATGGTTTTTCGATGGCCCTAATCGAAATAGATGGTGAACAACTGGGTTTACCTAGCTATATAGCATGGTGATTTTCCATGGCGAACTGTTAAATAACCAGAGGGTACAAGTAATAACATTGTTCTAAATGTTAAGAATCCCTAAGAATCCCTGCGTGCCGAAGGGCGTTCTGCTGTTTTCAGATCATACCAAATGACAAATCATGTAGTAATTCATTCCAGTGGTCGTGTCACCTCTGCCGCACACACCGAGGTGAGACAACTCTCAGTGCTATAACTGGTGGGATTTTGCCCCATGATTTCAATGTGAATCATCACAATCCCATCAAAATCACCATCCATTTTTGGGATAGTTGACATGGGAAAAGTATATATGTCAAATCCCACAATTTCCATGTCATGTCCCAGAATTGAATGGGATCGTTGACATTTTCCCATCCAAAATCCATCAAAATCCATCAAAATCCCGGCCTCTTCAGCCAGGCAGCCTCCAAAGAGCCGAACCCAGAAACTCTCGTTTTCGGCGCGGGGGTTCGCCTGGCCGACAAAATTTCGCCGTGGTTTCCACGCAGAGCACTGGGAGAAACCCATGGGAAAAATCGAGGAAAACCATGGGAAAACCCATGAAGCCCCAAGCAAAAGCGTGAGAAACCTGGCAGATTGCATGGACAATTCATGAAACCTTTGGAGAATTCGAGGTTGGACATAGAATGATGAGGATTGAACCAAGAAATATTCAGCTCAAATGTTTGATGGAGAATTACGGCAATTTGATGAAAACGAAACATGTGATTCGAGTGGGTCCCACTAAGTGGGATGATCCAACTGTAGATTGGGTCCATGGTTACGAACTGAGTCCTTTAACCACTTGTAACTGGGATATTTAAGCTGGGTTAGTTTGTATTTGTATGTATCAATACTTAATCTATCATTAAGATAGCATCAGATGCATTCACGTGACAGTTGAACATATGCACCAAGCCTGCCCATAACACTACACGTAAAATATATATGTCGATGGCCACCAGGCCAAAATTTGGGTATCACTACAGTTGGGGATGGAACAGAAACATAAGCCACAAAATTTGGGTAAACTGAGAAGTCGCCACACAAGAATGTGGGATTCAAATTGGCTACAGATGTTCAACATTCTTTGGGGATCATGTTGGGATCATGAGGAGAAATTGGGAATCATGTTCTGCCTGTCATGGTCATGTCAGTGATGTCTATTACTAAGTCTATTACTCTCCACAAGTCTTCTGCAAGGTAACCCTTCAATACCATATTATAATACATATGCACTCTCCTCAGCATTTTGGACATGTATTTTTGGGGGGTTCCCACCGATGTTCGATGTTTTCTGATTGAAAAGTCGCTTTCACTAATATTTCCAAAGAGTGGTGGAAAAAACCAACCAATCTAAAACAGCAAGTCTTCTGAATGGAACTCCGGTGATCCCTTGGTCATGTCATCTCGACCTGCTCACCATCAACGATGCGATATCTGCTGTCCAACAGTACTTCGATGGCCTAAAAGGCGGGGATGGGATGATGCCGGCCTAGACGTGTCCCATCAAAATCATTCGGATTTTGATGCTACCCCAATTGGGGAGTTAACATGAGTTAACCATGAAAAACCGGGAGTTGACATGATTGTATCATGAAGGCCGGGATCGGGATTTCACCCATCATCCCTTAGGACAATCAAGCATCAAGAACAAGGAGTCAATCAATATCAAGCAATTGATAAGAACGACAAATCGCATGCGTCTGAAAATGGGGGATACATTGGGTTAGCCCCAATTTTGGGTCATCTGAAAAAAAGGAAAATCAGATAACATCTTTTCCCAAAAATCCAATGCCAAAGGGATAAAACTTATCGGGCCACTCTATGTGCCCCATTTCTCGGGATCTAACCTTGCCGCAAGGGCATTGAATTTGCTTGGTATCCCTACCATTCGACAAGACAAACCGACTAAAACTCCATGTTTATCTTGTCTGATACCCCCCAAGTTTTGTAGGTTAGGTATAGGTGTCTCTATTATTTATATATATATATATATATTTATATACGCACATTTTTTTTGCATACGTATGTATACATACATATATATATATATATACATAATCATATATTTATATATGTATGTAGTATATATAATCATATGTTCATATGTATAATTGTATGTAATTGTATGTTTATATGTATATAATGTTAACATCCAGTTAGTAAACCCGCCACAAAAAAGTAGGCCAAATCCTGGGACATAGTATATAGTTAGACCCCACCACAATAAAGTGCGCCAACCGATCCTGGGTGTGTGTGTTTTTTTGGTTGTTCTTTGTTTATCACTGGCTTGGTTCCAGGGAGCATTTGCAGGAAACCATGTTTTTCCACAGAAATAATCGCCGGTTGGTGGTATACCTACCCTCTGAAAAATGATGGAGTTCGTCAGTTGGGATGATGACATTTCCAATAGATGGAAAAAAATCAAGCCATGTTCCAGTCACCACCAATCAGATAGGGTGGGTCCTTCCAGCCTCGTCCAGTTGCAGGTCCGAGATCTCTGGGGCCTGCGTTTGGGACCCAACTAAAAAGGCCATGACTGGGGGAACCAACAGAGACTTGGACATGTGAACCATATCGAAAGATGTGAGTTGTGGGTCAGTGTTTCGATACGGAGCGCGGGTGCGAGAAGGATGAGATTGGGATCGAAACCTGGAAAAAATATGGTCTTACTCAACAATCAGTGCGGGTCAAATTGGGTCAACAGCCACCAATTGGTCCCACTCATCCCAACTTTGAGTTGGTCATGCGGTAGGGATGAAAAAACAAGACTGCTAAGACCGCCACATGGCCAGCAATGCGCCTTTCTGAAAGTTCAGGGCACAAGATGAATGGAACTGAATGGATAAGATTGGGAGAATTTTGATGTCTATCGTTACCCTCTGGTAAACTAACATAGCTATGGAAAATCACCATTTTTACTGGGAAAACTCACTATAAATGGCCATTTTCAATAGCTGCGTTAAATTACCAGAGGGTAAAGATCTGCTTATCCATTTTTTTTAAACGTCAATTCATCTTTATTTAAGATCTTGGATGGTTTTTTTTAAACTACCAGAGGGTATCAGGTTGGAGAAACACTCGTTGGAATATCAATGCCATGATGGACCTTGGATATCGTTGGATGAGCCATCCCAGTTGGCTGAGAATGCCTCGTGTCATGACGCTTGGTATTCTTGCGTGTATGGAACCCAGTGAAAAAGATCGTAAGACAGAAACTTGCTAACCATGAAATGGGGGCCCGAAAATTAGATATATAATATAATATATTATATTATACAATATATAATATAATATAATACAATATAATATAATCTTATATAATATAATATAATATTATACAATATATAATATAATATAATACAATATAATATAATCTTATATAATATAATATAATATTATACAACATATAATATAATATAATACAATATAATATAATCTTATATAATATAATATAATATTATACAATATATAATATTATATAGTATTATATTATATTATATATAATATTATATTATATTATATTATATATAATATCATATAGTATTATATTATATATAATATTATATTATATAATATTATATTATATTATACTATATATAGTATATAATATATAGTATATAATATATAGTATATAATATATAGTATGTAAAATATAATATATATATATATTATATAATATATAATATATCATATACAATATAAAATATATCATATATCATATATAATATATAATATATAAGATATAATATATAATATCTAATATATAATAAATAATAAATAACGTATAACATCTAATATATATCATATAAAATATAGTATATAATATATAGTATACTCAATATGATATATAAAATATACAATATAATATACAATATATAATATATAATACATAATGTATAATATATAATATATAATATTTAATATATAAGTTATAAATTATAATATTGTATCTAATATCTAAAATCTAATATATAATATCTAATATCTAATATATCATATATAATATTTAATATCTAATATATCTAATATATAATATATATAATATATATAATATATAATATATAATATATAATATCTAGTATATAATATATAATATCTAATATCTAATATCTAATATATAATATATGATATATGATATATAAAATATAATATATAATATATAATATATAATATATAATATAGAATATATAATTTACAGTAATATATAGTTCGGTCCCGCATATGCGGTTCTCAGGGGGATGGCCATGCAACAATGGGGCAATCTGCTACCCCTTGCCCAGGAAATCTTGGAAATTCATGGCGACCGCAAATGAAGATTGTTTCCTCACTACTTTAAGTTTAGTTGAATATTCACATCGATATTACAGTAATATTCACATGGTAAGTTTATTTTGAAATGGTCAAATTTACAAAAAAATGAACAGAAATCAAACCAAAATCTGCCCTGGAAAGAAATTTGTAACCAATGAATATACAGGTATATATTGACGACCAACAAGCCAAAGCTCATCCCGGTACAGTACGATTATCCTGCTCCCGTTGTACACCCGATAGTCCCCCAGAAACACCTTGGTTGAGTGATCTAAATTGTCTCAGATACCCTGCCGATGACAATTGTTGGCATGTACATATTCCCCTTTGTGGCTCGACTCTCGCATGAACTCAAAGTTCCATAGTAAAACTGTTTCGGACTCTGGTGGTGGGAACAGCGTACCTGAAGATGAGGTGAGGCAAAGTGACTGGCTTCCCATTTGTAGCAAAAATACATAGTCTCCAAATGTATTTTGCCCCAGTTGGTATCTATTCCTACCTGGCTTGTATAGATTCTCCCAGATGTAGCAAAAAATGAAGCCAGTAACCCGCTGGTTTTGTCTGAAAATATGATTGATATTGGTGCATCATTTTCCCTAAAGTAACAAGTGGAGCCCCATTTTTCGAGACACCCAACTATCATATTCTTGGCTCTGTATGTATATTATCTGGGTAAATTATAATATTTCACTAACCTGAATTAAGGCCATTTTGGGATGATTCCCCTTACTAACTATGATTTCCAGTGAGGTCGCAGTGAGGTCGTTGTAATTTACCCAGATATTATATATTTATCTCCCATTATAGTATCCCCATTTTGTCTACAGTAACATCCCATATTTGTTGCCTAAATCCGTCATCTACACCCTACCTCCGCGTCGTCCAAGGTGTCAAGATCGGAGTCATCGCAAGGGTCATCACACTGCGCCGCCGTGGGTGGTAGAATCTAGATCTACATGGGGGTTTCCATAAATTTTGGTACCCCTAAATGTATGGTTTCTAATAAGGGAAAAATTAGGGGTACCCCCATTTGTGGAACCCCCCACATAGAGTACAACACGCGCAATTGATCCCGGGGTTGTATGATTGGGTGAAACCGCATTGCAACATTACCGCTTCAGTTGCACAATGCAGAATTACTGAATTCGTAGTCTTTCTGCTTGAGCGCGTGTGCAAGGTCCCGGCTTTCGCAAGGTTATTAAACAGCACAAATTTGAGTCATGACGATCCGGTAGATCCTACTCTTCCACCCCTTCAAAATCTAACAGACTGGAACACCATCTTTCAACCCCACTTTTGGAGGTTCCATGTCACCTTAAACCTTCCCAAGCCTTCATCCTGTTGGCCTCAACCAACACAATTGAGGCACTATCTCATCCATTGATCCATTCCAAGGGCCACAAATGGTGCCTTGTAATCCATCTTCAGTTTGTACTCTCCCGCCCTTGGTAAGCAGGGATGATGGGGCGCCAGTTCTCGAAAACTGCGATCACTTGTATAATGATGTTGTTTTGGGAAGACGAGGCTCGGTTCTGTATATTCTTCTTTGTCAAGAGGGGTACCCCTCTTGCTGAACCAACCAACCAACCAACCAACCAACCAACCGGGAAAAGGACATCGACCTTTTGGGGGAATGATCGACCGGAGGCCAAGTTCTGATCTTTGAATCGGGGAGTTACTAAAAACCACCCCTCACAACTTCCACAAGCAAGAAAATAAAAATTGTTAGCACCACCAATTGAAAGTGTTTGGGAGGCCGAATAGAAAAAGAACCTTGAACCTTCCTTGGAAACCATTAAACTACCTCCTGGCATATATTGGTATGCATCTCAGAAGATTGGAGCTGGAGAGCTTTTAAAACAAATAGCACTCTGGAACTTACATCGGGAAGGTTCAAGCTGGTACCATGCTGGTTGCTTCTTCTCTAGGAACTGGCCCACATTGCCACATGCGATAAGCACCTCGCCTGTCCCTTGACTGAGAGTTGTAAGCTGAAAAAAAACGATCAGCCCAGTTCCGATTTTGGACCCTACCTGCCAAGAGGAGACAACTGTTTGTTTGTTTTTTTGCTTGTTTGTTTGTTTGTTTTTCCCAGACAGAACACAAAGGCCCATTTCATCCAGGAACACAAACAAATATATGGTTATGCTTTTCCCACAAGTACCCACCACGTCTTCACAGTGGTGAAGTTGCTACAGAGATCTAAAACAGTCCTAGCTATCCCTAGCTTCAGAATGACCAGGTCCTTCTATCCTTTCGACAAGGGCAGTTCGCCCTTCTACAAATTGACAACTTGTCCAGAAAATGGGGTAACCCCCAAATAGCCGCTGAAAATAGGTAAAATGATGATAAACCACGCGACTTTGGGGAAACAAGCTTACAACCGAAACCATAAGGTTGGTGTTTAGTGCTTCTCATCTGTTCCACGTTTTTCCCCGAAGAACCATTTAAAAAAAAGAAAGGTTGGAAATAGGGGCCCAGTATTACCACATTTGTGGAAATGCAGCATTTGTTTTTCTCTATTATATTCGAATCTATGCTCATAGACCTTCACTTACACAATGTTCCTTAATATCATGGAAACATTAACACATATCACCTTAAAACACATTGCGAACCACTTAAGCCAGAATACTTGACGGCTTTCTTGTTCCTTCTTCAGGATATGTAATGGCAAGATATCCGAGCCCCAAAGATCCTCGATGCCCAAATGTAATACATAGCTTCTAGAGGGAGGGGGGTCGAAAAACAAATATATATATATATATGTAATATATATATATAACATATATATATAATATTTTTTTTCTAAGTTTCTTTTTTTTTAAGGGATCTCTCTGGGAATCTCCGGGGATCTCTGGAGATCTGATCTCTGGGGATCTCTACAGATATCTGTGAGTCACACTAAGAAGAAAAAAGAATAAAGGAACGGGAAAATCACCGTTGCCCTTACATATCCTGAAAGAACAAGAGAGATTTTAAAGTTGAGGACAACAGATATGCATAACAAGGTCTGATGGTTACGTCCATTGATTATTTGCCCATATGCCTCAGAAGAATAGTCCACTATTTTCCTGTTGGGAAGAAGGCTTTAGCATAAGCTTTTGCTCTGAACCCGTTTCACTTTGTATTATAGGTTTGCTCCTAGCCATGGTTGAATATATATATATATAGGTATATCCTTGAATATATCTTGTGTTCTGATCGCTCTATTTCAACTACAGGCTACCGCTATTTAGGCTAAACACATTTTTTGATCAGAACATTCATTCATAATTTTTGCTAGCATGATAACCGATACAAACTGACCATTCTGCAAGGGTATCCCTAATGATAGTTATATGCAATTCTAAAAGTATGATGACGTGTAATGTCCAGATATGTGCTTTGCCTGTATTGCTTGCATTTGACAAAGCAAACAAAATAACATCTATAGAAAAAAAAACATAAGACTATTAATATGAACAACACAAACCGTCAAAAAACAGCTAAATTACGTGGAAAAATTGGGCCCTCATTTCCAACCACTCTCTAAAAATATGAAGAGTATGGCGACCCAATTCGTCCAGAGGCCCCAAACTTTTCCTTCTCTTTGAAAACGCCACGGAGGGAAAGCTTCGGCACCATCTGAGTCGCAAAGAAGGTGGCGGAGGGGCATCTGCCAAACGAATTTTCAGCATGGGATGGAAAAACAGAACAGAACCGTTTGGAGAAACCACATTGATTTGCTGTGGAATGCGGAGTATAAATCATGAGTCTCTAATGTCGGCCTCATAATCATCCAGCAGGTCGATATCAAGTGTGATTTGGGACGTCGGCCTCTCAAAAGCATAGCTTTGCAAGTTTGGGTTTGGCTTGGGAAAGTCAAAAATTAAGCCCACCAGTGTATGATATGACTGATATCACATTGATTTTGAGTAATCCCGAAAAACATCGAAAATTCGTGGGACTTCGCCATCCAACATAGTCTGGGGGTTGCAAAATGTTATATCTCAACCAGTAAGGTCCAAGTTTGTTCTCCTCAAACCTTAGCTTCCGGACGGGACGTGGCCGCCTAAGAGGCCGCAGGGATTGCGCACGGTGCGAACTGGAAAATTCCGGAAAAAGAAAAAAACATACTATGGGCCGGAGTGTCCTGAGGTTGATTTGGCTTTGCCATGCTTTCCCCAAAAGGAAGGATGATCATCAGCCATCAGCCTAGATTTTTTGGACGAACTGGGTGACCACGGCAGACTTCCCGAATAAATTTTGGGGCACCCTGCGGAACACATGGCGCCGCCAACGCCCTGGGTCTCAGTGAAGTTAGGATCTGGATCGTATGGGATATAATCAATATGGGATATAATAGGTATAATAGGTATTATCAAGGATGTCATATGGGATATAATTTAATATAGGATATTATAGCTATATAACAAGGATATCATTGAACCATACTTGACCAGCAATATGAATTGGAGTTTTTTTTGACGATTCACCAAGCTGAATTTAATAAGGCCCGCTTCCTTCCAATGATCCACCATACTAACGATCATTTCCGGTGACGTCGTGGTGAGGTCGTTACAATCTATCTACCCTCTGGTGAACTAACATAGCAATGGAAAATGGCTATTTATAGTGGATTTTCCCATGAAAAATGGTGATTTTCCATTGCTATGTTAGTTCACCAGAGGGTAAATTAAATGTTAGTTACTGGTCGAAGAGAAATGTGTTGTACTGTATGTTAAAAAAATTGTTTCATGGGAATTAAACCAAAAACAATGGGGAGCCTTGGGAAGTGAATTTGATTTCATCACAATGTCGATCTTACCAGCAGAAATGTGGATCTAACATGATTTAACCCATGATACTGGGGATTTAACAGTTGCGATCAATGGCTAGTTACTGCTTTACAACCACATCTAAATACTGTAAGATGATGTAAAATATATTAATGGGTGCATTATCACCCAATTGCCTGGGATCCATTGTGAGCAACATCGGTAACTGGGTGGAACTGGCAACCATGGATCAAAACTGTAGTTGGGATCACCCAAGGGCATGCTTTTCTTAGGTCCAGCTTAAATTGCCAGTGTGTAAGCTACAACGACTCCCCACAGAAAAGATAAGTCAAATAGCAAGTCAACCACAATAACCATCCAAATGGCAACCAAGTCCCATTTCTATTTTTTCAAACCCCCGAAAAATACTCCAACCTTTGGTTTCCCCCAATGACAATACAATGGGAGAAGACATCCCAAAATGTTTTTGTCCAAAACGGGAATCCAAGTAGTGAAAATGATGGTTTGAATTGTTCAAACCAATAGGTTTTTGGTTGTTTTCCCAACCTACGATCGTATGAATCTTATTATCACAATGCAACAAATATTACTATCAACTACATTCTATAGTATACATATGTATATATATATAATTATATATAATGTGGGTAAAACAATGATCAACCATCCCCCAGATGACCACAAATAGGTGGTATAACATGGTATAACTCATTCCCAGTCATGGGTGGTTTATTCTTCTCTCTCGCCCCGCCACGCACCACGCACCTCGCAAGAGGCGGCACCTCAACGACTGAAGCACCACATTTCTACTGGGTCAACCTACCCTCCGGTAAACTAACAGTTTGCTATTGAAAATGACCATTTATAGTTGATTTTCCCATTGAAAATGGTGATTTTCCATAGTTATGTAACGTTTACCAGAGGAATCAAAGTGGTTGACTTATAACTTAAGCTTCACTTGGCTGACTTGGGTGGTAAAAATGAAACTGACCAAGTTGAATTAGTGAACTGAATCAGAATCATAACTGCTGGTGTGATGAAAACTGGTCGAAACATAACTGTGTAACCACCTGTTTGAAATAGTTAAATCTGGTTTTCATTTCACCGCCAGGTAAAAACAAAATCCCGATTTATGGTTTATTGTCTTATGATATCTTATGATCATAAATGGTGCTTAATGGTGCTGATTTACCCATAGGTCTTGGGATGAGATATTTATCCTGCTGGAGTTGTAATGACGAATGTAAGGAATTTCCTATGATGCTTTGGAGAAAATCACTGTTTGAGAAAATTGGATAACTTTTAGTGGCATTCAGTGACCTTGACCTATCTTTTTGCAGGAATAAATTTGAAATTGAATTGTATGGCCACACCCCATCCAGTAGTACGGATGGGGGGGTTGATGGATCCTTCTGTTAGCAGGACAAGTAGGAACCAAATTCTGTACCATCTAGCTCATCTAGACATGCTCATCAAATAATGTGTCCCACTTGCTGGTATCCGATTTCATGATGTGTTCACACAAAGAATGTGGGTTTGTCGGAACACTTCGGAAAAAACCTTCCACGGGATTCTCATCATGCCCATTAAAATTGCAACGTCGGTCGAATCCTCCATGTTCCCCATGAAAATAGCCCCATCAGAATCCCATGAAGTCGTCCCATTCAAATACACCAAGAAGCCAGTCAAACACCATTTTCGGATACAAGTTCCGGAGGTTTCATGGGGTTTAACACCATTTGTCAACACCATTTGTCAACACCATGGCCCGCACCACTTCCTCTTCTACTCCACCTGGAAGACGTCCTGCAGACCAGCAGAAATATGTGTATGTATATATATATATCATATAATATCATATTTATACATCCATCCAAATACATATACATATAATGTATATTTAAATATTATCATTATTATTATCATTATTATTATCATGATTATTAATCATTATTATTGTTATATAATCATTCTTATTACTGTTATCATTACTATCATTATTGTTGTTATTGTTATTATTATTGTATATGTATTCTATATTCTATGTATATTACAGATTATATAAATTAAATATCATTTCATATTATCTCATATTATATCATGTTATATCATATTATATCATATTATATGATGTTATATCATATTATATCATGTCATATCATATCGTATGGTGTCATATTATATTATATCATATTATATTATATTGTATTGTATTATATTATATCATAGTACGCCATATTGTATTGTATTATATATATACTATACATGTGGCTATCTGTGGCTATTGCGACCCAAAAGCAGGTTAGCAAGGGACTCGCAGTGTTTAACATGCCAATTTGGGTGTCAATAATTTTCAGACAATCCCATGTTTATTGAGGGCTATGCTGTAAAGACCTTTGACCTAGACTCGTATTGTAGGAAAAAACCATTCATCCATGTCTCAAACATCACTCAATCGGGATGAATCATCCCGTTGAAAAAAAAAACAAACTGAAAAATGTGAAAGCGACATGTCTCGTCCTTTTCCACATCTTTCTTGCTGACAAATTAGATTTGGGATGGATGTATATTACCCATTGTACCTCTGCCTAGCCACGCTGCATAAAGTTGGCAATATACTGGGGAGAACCAGAATAGAAACGGGCAGCAAGCGATCTTCAACCAGAAATCATCCCACATGCCTTGAACTGGTGAAGCGGCCGGCGCAGGAGCCCTTAGAACAGGTCGCCTTCAAACAGGTCCCCGAGACGGGGCGACACTTGGGTGCGATTTTGAGCCCTGAATTGGCAAAAAAATGACCAGATGGTTTTCTCTATGATTAGTTTTCTGGAATCCGTTTCATCTGGAATGAAATAAGGATTGAACATGGATTGAACCAACGAAAGGTCGGGAATTGGGTAATAACAATGGTGATTTGAGAACTTTCCTAGCATTTGCTGAAAGTGCTTTTTTGCAGGAAACCTCCATCCTTGCTGGCAAAAATAAGTAACAAACACATAGGTCAACCGTCAACCTAATGAAACTTGGAGTGTTGATCATCACAAAATGCTACGCAAAAACTTGATAAAACCAAAGGATGGCCATTGTCATTGTCCCTTTGAGAGTATATACTCAGGCAAGCCTCCTTACTAGGGGTATGCGTGCCAGTGCCACAGATCTTTGCGATGTGGTTTCGACCTTTGATATGGTTTGCTTTGCCATCTATGGCACCGCAAACACAAACTATACACAGTATACTGTATAGCAATATATATATATATAATCTCTGTTTGACTCCAACCTCATGTGCAAAATGGGAAGATTACCTGTTGCAAATACAAAACAAAAATCGATTGCAAGACTAAAACTGGTGCAATCGCTCATACATCAACGATGAACTACAATAGCATCATATCATAGTTAAATCATACATGGGTTTGTCCAAAGATTACAGGTTAAACCAAATATATGGTGAATAATCTTATATAATACAATCCCCTTGGTTTGTTGGGCAGACCATTTCCAAACAACTAATATGACATAATCACCCACTGGGTGATTCATCCATTTGTCGTGGTAGGGACCCAAACGTTGCCCTACCAGGGACTCATCCAAAAGCCAGTGTCTGGTTCATGATGATGATGATGATGAGGACGATGACGATGACGATTCCAGAAATGGTTTTAGAGGACATGTACAGGAACCTCCCATATTTGGGTATATTTGGTTGGTAAAACAATGTTTTCCTGTATATACGTGTATGTACGTATATATGTTCCCGTAAATAAATCCATTCAGGAAAAAAAACAAAATCAAACTACCAAAGAATGATACATTATTACCTCCTGGAGAAAAAGAACGTACATATAAATATATATGTATATATGTAATCATGTATATATATATATGTATATATATATATACATATTTGGACAACTAAAAGCAAATTCTTTTTTGGCCAATCCCAAGTCTCTCGTCGCCTGAAGGCCGACAAAACGGACAAAGGCCGTATGGAGGAGTGATTCACCTGGTCAATGGTCAGTGCATAAGGAGAAACCAAACCATCGGTTGTCTACAAATTTTGATTGATTTTGGATCAAAACATTAGTAATTTTGGAGGATCAAGAACCCCCACATCTGCGGGTCCTTTTTTTGGGGTACCAATGTGTCTTTTTTTTGTTAGATCATCCATTTTGGGGCCAATCTTTGAATATTTTGCGAAAATCAAAAAAATGCCGCTAAGAATCAAATTCCTACAGAAGCAGTGACCAAGAGTTAAGTAATTACAGTCATAGGAAGTTCTTGGAAATTGTGGAAGTCAACTGTTTTTTACGCCCCATTCATGGCAAACCTGTACTAAAAGAAGAAGGCGTTGTACAAAGTTTGAATAATATAAAACAAACTGCGATGATAAAAATGGCCCATTGGCATCAAGCAATCCGCAAAGCCCAGGCGTGACATACCATATATGTAAATAAAACAAATATCTACATACACACATACATATATACACATATAAATATATAGGTAAATAAATAAATAAATAAATAAATAATTATACATATATATGTACAAATATGCATACAAATATGTATTTATATATATATATATATATTTACGTATGTATATATATATATGTGTGTCCACATATATATGTCTACATATATATATATATATACATATATATACATATATATATATATACATATATATACATATATATACATATGTATATATACATATATATACATATATATATATACATATAGATATATATATATATATAGATATATATGTATATATACACATGCATATAGATACATATATATATACATAGATATATATATATATATACATATAGTGTGAATCGCTCCACACTGGTAGAAATTCCCCTTCACCACCTCCAAAACGCTCGAGATCTTTTTCACAAGCAGCCAAGATGGTAAATGTTGCTAGGCTTCCCAAGCAGGAGAACCAAAGGCACTGATGCCACCGATAAATGCTGTCCTCAGCAAACCAGAAAGGATTGGCCTCAATCCTATGGCTTCAAGCGCTTCCTCAGCCCTCCCACCACAAGCTGCCAGTCAGCCAAAGCGGCTGAGGATTTCCACGTCTGGAGTTGGACCCTCATGGAACATGTATGAAAGGCTGTGCACATGTGACAAGAAAGCAAGAACATGACTGGGATCATTTGTTCATTCACACTCGTAAAAACAAGAATTTTCTACTTTTCTTGTTGATCTTTGCTTTCTCCACTTGTGGTAGCTTGGAGCCACTTCACCCTGGTTCTGTTACATGCCCTTTCTTTGAGGATCTCAGTCTCGTCATGTAAGGAGTATTTGACACATTGGAGGGTCTGACGGAGAAAATGACATTGCATAATTTTGGTTAATGCATCTGCCAGCTGTGCTCCCGTGTGAACCCATCTAAGCCTTACCCCTTCAGCCAGCAAGTCTTTAATGGCTCTTGCCTGTAGTTGTGTACGAAATTCCTGGCAACTGGGTGGAGCAGTCCGAGTGACCAAATCAAACAATGATTTACAATCGGTGACTGCTATTGAGGGGTCTTCTTTGAACGTGGCTGTCGCAAAAGTTTCTGGAAGTTTATTGAGTGTGGTGGTTGCATTCTTCCAATCTGTCTTGGGATTCCGTATCCAGCTCCAAAAAAGTCTCAACCATGACAGCTGGTCCAAGGTTGTGCTCAAGGACGTGGTCTCTGCTGACAGCGTGCTGGTGACAACTCTTTGAATTTTCTTACAGCCCCAACTGATTGGATTTACTGGACATACATGGTTCTTTCCTATGTCCGCATGAGTGGTCATGATAATTGTTCCTGTGTGTGACTCTGGTTGTTTCTTGGAAGCGAATGATGCGTCAGAGAAAGCAAGGAACCGTATCTGGTCCATGGGAATTGGTTGGATTCTGACATGCGTATCCTTGTATTTCTTGGCTTCATGAAGAATTCTGTTTCCCTGGATGAGAGTCTCCACGGTCGCTTTGTTCACTTCGCTCTGCAGAAAACTTAAGCGGCTTGACAGGTCTGGTCTCGTGTTCACGGATGCATACTGGAGTGATCCTATCAGTGCTCTTAAGTCCTGTCTCTCTCTCTCTCTCTGTGACTGGAAGGTTTTCTTGTATTTTTCGTTGTGGTTGGATGTGAATTGGATTGATTTTGGAAACGTACTTTTCTTGTGACATGACAATTGAGTAGTCGTTTTGTTGGTGCATTTCTATTCCCGTAAAGACAAATGACTGCGTTTTACGCGACCCAAATGGGAATTTGGCCTCAAGCCTTTTGATCATTTCGTGAAAGTATTGGTTTCCTCCGCAAAGGCCGTCATCCACGTGTACCCCCAAGATACCCGCTGGCTCATCTTTTCCTTCTTCATATAGTAGGTATAAGCAAGGATCAAATGGAGATGGTATGAAATTCAGGGATCTCAATTGCTGGTCCAGTTCTGTATACCATAAGAAAGGAGCATCAATTAAACCATACGCTGATTTCACTAGTCTACAAACTTCACTTGGTTTGAGGTTCATCGCTTTCACCATTTCAGGGACGGGTTCCACAGCTATCAGTCTGTCTTCCTGTGTTTTGCCTTGTAGAAACGCTGCCTTAATGTCGAATGACATGAGTGTCCATCGCATGGATGCAATGACCTGTGCAATCAACATCTTTGAGGTTCGTCCTAGTGTCGGGCTATCTCTGGGGATAGTTTCTAGTTGTGGGTCCATGTAGCCCAAAACTACTAACCTCGCTTTTGCCTTTCTTGACTTTCCATTATTTTCTTTGATTTCCTTGGGGTCTTCTAGAGGTTTCCAAACATACAACCATCGACACCTGAGGATCTGTTTTGGAGAAATCTGATGACGAAAAATGTTTGCTACTGTTCCTGTCTGTAGCCAGTTGTTCACTTCCTTATTTTTCGCATTTTCAAACTCCTGTCGTTCCGCAGGATCTAGAGTGCTAAGTTTGACTTCTGTTCTCTGTCTTTTTGTAGTGGTCGCAAGGAAAAGGAAAGCTTCTTCGCGATTTTGATTTTGGCTTTGCATGGCATTTGTCAGCTGTTCGGGACTGATTTCCAGTTCTGTTCGCCAGAAAAGGTCTTGTCCATCTGGTCCAATTTCTGTTTCCACATCATGGCACGTTAGGAGGTCACAGACTAGCTCATCGGCAGTATCATCAGGGATTGGAATTTCATGAGGTTGTCTAGTGTCTAGTTCTGGGATGGTGGTGTCGTTTTCAGTCTCTCTTGGTGTTTCGGCATTTTCAGGTTCTTGGTCAGGTTGATCTGCTGAGCTCTGACTTGGGGTTCTTTGAGGTGGACTATTGGTATCGTTAGGGATTATTCCACTGGGATTAGTGGGTACTGGGTTATTGTTTGTGATGGGATTATTATTGGGGTTGCTGCTTTCTGGGATGATTGGTTCAGTGGCATTTCTGTCCATGGTTGGGATATCACGGTGTTCACTTCTCGGCCCGTTGTCATCGGCAATTTGATCCAGGGGGATCAGGCGAGCTTCTACGGCGCTGACAGGTCTGACATGCTCGGGTGCTGCTTTGAGGGATGGATCCCATATTGTTGCAAAACACTGCGTTGGAACCATCCTGTTGGATGACTTTTGCGGGGCCATACCAGGATCCTTGGTTGGAAACCACTTTCCACACCATGACCCACTCTCCAGCTTCATACGAACCCCTGTGTGGTCTCTCACGACGTAAGGCGGCCCTGCGAAGAGACATGTCATTATCAGCTGAGTGAAAAGCTCGGCGAGCTGTTTCTCGGCGAGCTAACATCTCCCGGAAACGTAAGCCCTCGGACGTCTCCTCACATGCTTTGGCATGTGTGGGTAGTTCATCATCGCCAGTTAGTGAGCCTGGAATTCTGGCGCTTTTTCCAAACACTAGCATTTCTGGGGAATACCCCTGTCGGATTCCGCATGTGTTTTTTGCTGTAGTGCACTGTGCTAATGCTTGCTGCAACTGTGAGTAGTTGGTGATTTCGTGTTCTAGTTCATACTTACTCAACATGTTTTGGAGCACTCCTCCATGTCTCTCTATGCGCCCCATCTGCCAGTGCGCATTTGGAGGGACAACCGTGACTTTGATCCCCAGGCCTTGCAGAAAGCTTTCAAACGATTTGGAGACAAACTCTGTCGCTGAGTCTAAAATCACTTCATTTGGAGTACCAGCCCAACTAAGCCATCCTTGAGTGAAGCGGTCCTGAATCTCTGCACGATTCGGAGCGACAACAGCAGAATGATAGTTGGTGCCATGGTCTATGAAGTGGTAAAAATGGTATTCTCGACCATCTTTGTTGGTCCACTTCACTCCATCTAAAGATATCTTGTCTCCAAATTCTAAGGCTTCCTTCAGGGTTGCCGGTCGCTGCAGTTTGGGCTTTTGTGTCATCTGACACACGGAACACTTCAGATCCAGAACTCCCTGAGACAGTTCAGTGCTGTAACCCCTCTGTTTAAGTACCTGACTTAATTTTCGGGGGTCTGGATGGCCTAGGTTCTTATGTAGCCTTAATGCTATCTTCCTATTTTCGGGTGACATGGTTAAGAACTGGGGACCATGGTTGGAACTGTTCAGATCGACTTGGCTTGGCTCGCAACTCTCGGATGCTGTTTCTTGGGATTCTAATCTGGCTGGACTTGGCATCGGATGCATTGGTTCAGGCATTGCAGCATCTACGGATGACCCATCCAAGGTCGCAGATTGGCTCGGTCCAGCTGGTTCCACTTCTTGAATTACTGGCTTGGCAGAGCTTGCTACTTCAGCATTGGGATTGCAGGCAAAAACTGTTATATTTAGGTAGCTTGGATGCGATCTCCTCCACTGCTGCCTAAATGACAAGTCTTCCCATTCCTCCCATTGATCTTCAACCAGTACATTTCGGGTGTTTCTCTGCATGATTACCGCACGGCGGTACGGGGCTTCTCCTCGCATGAGATCTTTTGGTGGTACTAACGTTCTTTCAGTCCCCTTACATGCAATTATTCTTTGTACTTGTTTATCCCCAAACATTTCTTGCAACATGGATTTTACTTGAGGGTCATTGATCTCTTTGCGTCCAACCTTCGGCATGATCTCAAGTACCCTGTTGCAAACTTGTTCACACAACACTTTTGGGGTATCATCACTTTGGGTCTTTCCAGAAAGTCTCCTACGTTTGGACGGCAACATTTCTGGGTTGATCAAGACACTTTTGATGCTACCCTCTTTCAGTTTTGCTCGTTTGGCACTTTGGACACCGGCAGAAACGGATCTTCTCTTGGCTCCTGAGCTTGCAAACGAAGGTTCATGCTCGGCAACATGCAGTGGTGCTTCCTTAATCATCTTGACTTTGGTAAGCACTTGGGCCAACGTTCGGGCAAACTTTCGGGTGTAATTCTCAGAAAATTCAGTTCTTCTCATGCGGTGACCTTTGAACATTGTTTCTGAGCCCTCAAGTGTTTGGTGTTGATGAAGGTGGTTACACTTACGACCGTGAAGTTGGCTGTATAATTGATAGGACGTGGTAAGGATTTCCATTCCCTTCTTGTACAAAAGTTGGTTGACAGGGTCACGCATGCCTCCTACTCTGCACATGTCGAATTGGGCAAGGTATGTGTTTTCCATTACTTCACGCAACATCGGAGACCTGGTCATGAGTGATCGAGCAGGTTGCTCCCAGTGCATGTGTCTGCCATTCTGTCTCTGGAAACGGAAAAGCACAATGCCCAATGCCAGTTGGTACATATGTTGCTGTCGGAGAGCTTGGATTGTCTTGAACCCTGCCTCAGTCTGCGCGGCATTCATTGCGCTCCAGGCACACCAAGGACTACTTGTAGGGCTATACCAGAGACTTCGAGGTTGCCCCTCAATTAACTTGGTAAAAAGAACGGCTCGGCCGGATTCAGTTGCAAGGTCACCCTCTTGAAAACCATGCCTAACCCCTTTATACCCCAAGTTATTGACTTGCTTGGTGAGCTCACTCTGAGGTCCACAAAAGACTTCCAAGACTTGAATTGGTGTGCCTTTCTGGGAACATGATTGTGAAATTGACTTCAATTCGCTGGTAAACTGTTGAACAAGTTTATGGAATTTGTAGTGTAAGTGATTTGGTGTGTTTGTACTGAAATGGGCTTCTGCAGTTGGGTTATTTTCAAACTCGGCATCAATGTCACCAGCCTGGCACAACATCCGAAGAGCATGATTCACTTCCCCTGACGGAGATGTCCTAAGATCTCGCTGATGGCACCTTCCATGTTCAGTACTCGAGCTTGGAGTGCCTCGATCATCTCGTTGGTCTGGTCCTGTTGCAGTGCTGTGTAGTCCATGACATCCCACGGGTTGCTGGGATCCACAATCTCCTCGATCACCTCCACAGGCACTTGATGTGCCGGCATGGCCTTGCTCTTGGGCATGCATTTGGATCGAGGCAACATCACCCCTTGCAGATCTTCGGGATTCTTCAGAGGCACCATGCCATGGCTCTCCTCGTACTGATCCAACACCTTTTCCTGATAAGCCAGTACTTTCAGGTGCTCGGGCTTGGTGCTGCTGGCGTGAGTCTTGGCGAACCATTTCATCCATGACTTCTCCTGATCCCACATCTCTGCAAATGTTTTCCCGACGTGAGTGCGACCAAAGGTGATACGATGTTGGCTCATGGTTATCACAGTTATTTACCTTTGCAACAAGGTGGAGAAACTCGGTTGATGGTGGCTTGGGCCGGGAGATCTCTGTACATTCGAAACTACACTCACTGCCCTGGCTTCGGCTGGTCATGTGAACATGTCCCTGTGTACCTGGGCCTGTTGGTGTTGAAAGTGACTTCAAACTGTTACCTTGACTTTCACTGAGGCTTGGCTGACACGTTTCAGCTTGCTGGTTTTCGCTGGAAAAATCACTGCTCATGAAAGTTTCGGCCATTATTGCATCACGAGGTCCTTGCAAATCCTTCTGGGCACGAAGCAAATCTATCAGATCAAGCATGTAGAGTCCTCTGGGACTCAGCTTAAGTTTGACAACCTGGTTCAACAAAGGACTGGACAACGTGTGATGCTCGCTGTTCAAACTGGCTTTGAGAGTCCTCAGGAGTGTGTTGGACAGCAGCAGCGGTGTTTCGCCAGGCACGATTGCAATCTTGAGACCCAGACCTACAGATTTTAAGGGGATAACTAAGGCATGTTGGCTATCCAAGGTACCTTGATTTCCGAATCTGAAGGTGATGTCACATGATGTCCTGAACACCTGCTGTCTCATCTCAACTGGAAGGCCCTCAAGTAAGGCAGGTAGCAATTTGCTACCCATCACTGACTTCGACGCACCTGTGTCAAGTATGCCACAAGTGCCATACGTGGAAAAATATGCTACTGCTGGCTGCTCTCTCACGGATGCCACAAAACGGCTCTCAGGTTGCTCTGTGATTCGTTCATTCCTGGGCAGGCTTTCATTCGGGTTTTGATTATCTTCCCCTTTACCCCGTTTACCCAACTTACGGAGTCTATCCCGAATTTCCTCCATGGATGAAGCAACAACATGAATTTCTTGCCAACTGGGAACATCTAGGGTTTCCTCATGCACCATCGGAAGCTGCATGAACTCCATTGGAAGCGCATCGGACTCTTCCATGGACTGGGACACTGCTGAAACGGTCATGGCTGCTGATGTATTCGTGGAACCAGTTGATGCATTCGAACGTGTCCGGTCGGAACACTCCGCACGCCAATGACCCTTCCTACCACACAATCGACAATGGCTTTCAAGGATCCTCTGTTGAAGACTTTTCTTGGAACCCTTGTTGAGATACTTCCCTTTGCCCTTTGGTGCGGACGGTTTGCCTGAACCTTTGCCTTGACCTACTGGCCAAAATCCTCTATGCTTGAAACGGTCGGAGAGTCTTCTCCTGGCATCTGCGTATGCGTTGTATGTGGCAGCAAGGTCTCCTTGCAGCACATCTGCGGCCATCGATTCATAGTCGGCAATCAAGGCTGCATCTTCATCATCATCTTGCAGTAACTGACTTACAAACTCATCCTCGGTATATTCATCAGCTACGTATGCAGACCCATCATGTTGAAAGTCATCTTGATCTTCAGCTAGCATCACTTGGGATTCATAAATCTTGCCCTTGGAGGCCTTTTGACCAATCATCTCATTGAAAAATGAAGTACCCAGCATGCGAACAGATTGTGTGACCTTCTCCATGTTCAAAGCTCCACTTGACGATGATTCACTCTCGACAATGACACGTTTCTTATCCTCTGTGCTCAAACGAGACCCTCTGAGGACTATGTACGATTGAATTTCTTCCAACTGCACCTTCTTGGCTAGAAGTTCAGACCAAACAACGTCACAACGGGCTAGGAAAGAATCGTTGGATTCATCTTGTTTCTGAAGGCAACGGAAAAGTGCTCTCTCCACAATGTCGTACTTTTTCTCCAAATTGACTTTTCCCCACTGACCGCCAAGGAGCTGGACCAGTAGTTGCACTCCTTTCTTGTCATTTGTCATCAACTGAGATTTGTTCAGTTGAAGTTTCTGAAAAGCAGTTCCACTCGTGTTCAAGATGAGGCGAGTGATCAACTCATTGATCTTTGCTGCAGGCCAAATCTCACTAAGCAGTTCTACCTTTTGCGTATACTGTTCTAAGTCATCCTTTGACGGATCGAATGTTGGCACCAGTGTGGCCATGTGATTCGATGAAGCAGTGTTCCCATCGGTCGAAGCTGCTGTTGCAGTTTCCTCAGACATTCAGAAAAACCACCAGATGTTATCAAAGGTCCCCTGGAGCTTTATTGGGTAGCTCCGCTACCAGTGTGAATCGCTCCACACTGGTAGAAATTCCCCTTCACCACCTCCAAAACGCTCGAGATCTTTTTCACAAGCAGCCAAGATGGTAAATGTTGCTAGGCTTCCCAAGCAGGAGAACCAAAGGCACTGATGCCACCGATAAATGCTGTCCTCAGCAAACCAGAAAGGATTGGCCTCAATCCTATGGCTTCAAGCGCTTCCTCAGCCCTCCCACCACAAGCTGCCAGTCAGCCAAAGCGGCTGAGGATTTCCACGTCTGGAGTTGGACCCTCATGGAACATGTATGAAAGGCTGTGCACATGTGACAAGAAAGCAAGAACATGACTGGGATCATTTGTTCATTCACATAGATACATATATATATATACATAGATATATATATATATATATACATATAGATATATATATACATATACATATAGATATAGATATATATATATATATATACATATATAGATATATATATATATACACACATATATATATACACATATAGATATATATATATATAGGTTCTTCTTCGTCGTCCCAATTCATTGAATGGTCTTCATCTTCCCCATTGAATGTAAGTTGAATAAAAAGTTGACTGGAACCAACCACGTTGCACGAATACATAAAATATATATATATATATAGATTTATGTTTGTAAGACATACAATTATAAACTTATATAATTACATTTTTATAATATTTGTCTATTACTTGTATGTACATTAGTATATGCATCCTGAAGTAGATAGAATGTACAGTAAATGAAAATAATCTTGGACCAAATGAGACAGCCGGTTTTCGCATCCCGCACCGCATCTGTCATCAAGGACGTAGTGATCCGAAAAGCGCCATGACCTACTTGGAGGACCTGGATGTTTGGAGCAATGTTCCAGGGAAGCCCAATGTCTGTCCTGGAAAAACCTTGATACCTCAAGGTCAGTCTTCTTGAAAAGCTGACGGCTGCTTGGTTGCTTGCCCCAGTTTTTTTTACCAGAGATATGAATATGTGAATCTCTACACTCACATGAAGTGTCAGTGTGTGGTACAGTTCAGTACAGGATGATGGGTCTGGTTGCAGCTTAGGCTTCAGGACGTCCCAACTTCTGGCAGAATCCTCTAGCTTCTCGGTGTATCCTGGGTGTAACTAGGACGGTTTGATCACATATGTTGAGATTTTAGATGTCCTATTTTGTTGTGCAAAAAAGGTGAGATAAACAAGGGTTTTTCACCAACAAGAATAGAACAGATTTGAAGAAAAGATCAAAAACTAGTGTCTTGCATAGGAAGGATCAACTGTGTTTGTTGTCCTATCGAGCCCATGTATGGTGGACAGCGTCGCAAGGCCGCAAGGCATGCAGGATTTGACCGGGGATTGTCCTGAAAAAGTGATGGGGAGTTTGGGAAAGCCCCAATTTCAAGCGGTGCATCCCTGCATAAATGGTATTTTCTAGACCCATTCGTCCTGCATAAATGGGATCCACGGTCAGAAAGACCGGGCCATTTGATGTATGCTGAAGCAACTAAAAGCTCGTAGGCGGCAGGTGCCAATCTTGTCATATTCTCATTTGATCTGATTATCTTATATTATATAGATTTATATAGTTTTTTGATGTTTTTGCAGACTGGAACTCACAGTCACAGTCATTCAAAAAGAATAGAAGATTATAAGAGTTTGGAAGCTCGTCCGGCTATCCCAAGCTGTAGAAATCCCAGCTGGGCTCCTCAAACCTGCGATTATAGTTCCAACCTTCAACCCTATGATTTCTCTTTATTTTTAGAGCTAACATGATCATACACACGCAAATCCAAGCGCAACGCGTTTTTCTTGGATGTAGATCTCTCGACCGTTGCTAGCTGGCGGAGATCGAAGTTCAATATGCTAGGAGTTCATGGATTTGTGATCGATTTCTAATTTCTAGGGAAAGCAGATCGATTTTGGGATGCCTCCTGGCATCCTCAGTTTTTCCACATCCGGACTCAACTTGAATGACTCGCAACGATTCGAGCCCTCCGCTAATCTAAGTGAAACGCCCTAGCTGCTCATCGCTTGGCCGAGATTCGGGATTCCCAATTCGCGTCCAGTGTCCCATGATGTCCGCCCCATGATGTCCCATGGTTCAGAAAATGATGTTCTGATGTCCAATCACTGGATTGGTTTTCTTGGGGAAAATCTACACCGGAAACCCATGGGTTTCTGTCCCATCAAATTGATCGGGCTTTCCGGTTTCAATTTTCCATAATTTTCCCATCAATCCAATTCTATGAGTCAAAAATCCAGTTGAGGGCTATCCCCAGTGCCATATGATGCCACTTGATCCTGGAACCTCCAGGCCCCGAAATGGACCGATGTGTCGGCTCTTCTCATAGATGGATCACCGGGTATTGGCCCGGGGGACACGGAGGCAGCAGGCGCCTTGGTTTTCACAGAAACCAAGATTTCTGCAGCGGGGTATTCCTCCCCCAAAAGATGATTCTAGATGATTCTAGATGAATAGCTATTGATCAAGCCTCATTTCAAACCAACCCTGCAAGGTTTCGGTCCATGTTTCAACCCAAACCTACCCCGGTCCAAGGGGTGGAGAAGGAAACGAATGATGAATGTCTAATGCTTCACTCAAGAGTTGAGGTCTGCTCCCCTGCTGTATGACAAGCTCAGGCTTGAGGTACACTCAATTGGGCGTTTCTGTACACAAAATTGGGCTTGATTCAGACCATAAACCCTCAAAGTTTTAGATATACGGCCATCCAATCTCTTGAACCAAACGTGCATGTCCAACACATTGGAGACTCGCAAACAAACCCATGATGTTCCAAGAAAAAGCTACATATACCCTCTGGGAGTCATTTCCATAGCTATGGAAAATGGATGAAAATGGCCTGCGGTGTTCTTTTGATTGATCATGATTTGCCTATGAAAAGTGGTGCTTTTCCATAGCTGCCATTATGTATCATAGCTATGTAATAGCTATGTCAGATTCCCAGTGACTCCTGAACTGGTGAACCCTCTGGCACCACCCCTTGGGCTGCGACAGCAGCACCAAGCGAATAAGAAGGACAAAAGGACTATCAGCACCTGAGCATCGCGGCCAAAATGGGAACTTGTTTTTTGCCGGAAATTTATATATATATATATATATGTATGTATATATATATGAGCCCAAGAAACGGATGGATGATCTATACTTTGATCCTAAAATGGAGCAATGACTGCATATTGGTGCCGGGTGATCCATGATATCCATGACTTGTCAAGCTGCATCCCAGTTCCACTCAACTCCAGGCACCAGGCTTCCCTGCCCAGTTCAGTAAGCCCCAACCGATGGGGAAGCGATAATCGAAGGTGATGATCTTGTTGGCTGGGCTGCACCTCAGTGCCGAACTCAGATCTGCAAGGGAAAAGTTCAAGGAAATTGGATGGGATATGATGGGATGTTGGGATCAGCTGACAGCAAAACTGCTGGTGATGAAACGCGTGTCTTGACCGAAGCAGTGAACAAAATAAAACTAACCGTTTAAGATCTTCTGATCCAGCTTCGGGGATGCTGAAAAGCACATCCAAAAATCTGTGAGTAATCTGCCAGGTACCAAAATCATCCGAAACCTGTAATACGAATGCGTGGTGGAAATCAACATGTCGTTTATTAATGCAGGCCAATGTCATTCCATTCCGATACTCACCCCAAGCAGGGATGTTCTCTGAAAATCCAACCACCAACAACCAGCGAAAGATCGGCATCCACTATCATCAAGTATATGGTATGCTGAGCGCTCGCCTTTGACCCCTCTCTAGGCTTCTATAGACCTGAAAAATCTGATGAAAGACTATCAAACTTCACAAAAACACTTCGAAAAACTTCGAAAAGTGATACCCTATTTTCTGCGCTGTTCAGGTGATCTCCTTCTCATATCAGTGGCCATTTCAGGAACCTAAATTGGAGGTACCATTTTAGGATCCTGGAATTCCCACTGATCATAGGCCTTTTTAGAATCGGATCCGGTGGAGCCGTGGGCGATTTGCTCGCGCCAAGGGACGGCGTTTCACCAGCGCCCCCGCAACCTTCATCGCTGCCTGGTGGCCGTTGAATCGCTATTTGTTGGGCGTAGGTTGACCCATGCTTTTTTACTAACCCCAGGTCGTTGCGCGTTGCCTCACAACATCACAACATCTCACAGCCCCGAAAATCGGTTGAGGATTTGGTCAACTTGGTGAACACATCAAAGCCCCATATTTCTGACGCTGTTGGAAAAGCCACATTGATTGAAACCATCAAGTTAAGTCAATGAATAGCTGGGGGAGGCGTACCCTCCACCAGCTAGAGATTACGGTGAAGTTCGTTGGCTAAGTCGGGCCTACGATCTCCGGAAAAACGTGTAATTTTCGGTCAAAAATAACGGTTTGGGAGCTGATTGTCCTGCTCCAATGACCACTGTGGGGTTCTACAGATTTACCCTCTGGTAATTTAACATAGCTATTGAAAATGGTGATTTATAGTGGATTTACCCATTGAAAATGGTTATGTAAACGTTTGCGAGATGGTAAAATCCCATTAGATCCCATTAAACCACCATAAAATCCCATTAAACCACCATTAAACCATCATATCATCTTCAATATCCCGGAATTCATGTTCTCTTGCTGAAGATCAGGGATCCTGGTCGGCTGACATCCCATGACCCATCTCACCTGTCGCTGCAGGAGCCTCCTGATGATTGGCAGCGCAGCACAACCGCCGTCCGGTGAAATTGAATTGAAACGACATGTTTTTTCGATGGTAATTTGGATGTAAATGGATCATTGTCTTCGTTTTGGTCAAAGTGAAAATGATTGGGTTCCACTTCTATCTGGATGACCGATCAATCAGATTCCAAGCCTGATTGAAAGATATTGAAAGCCACTATATTGATGGTTTCCCTAAGACAAGCCATTATTCTTTATGGGGCTTGGTCGTTGAGGTCATTAATTATCGGGCTTACTAAACCCCAAACTTCCATGTTCAAATTGGATCCATACTCGATGACCACTCAACATTAAACCCAAAGTAGGTACCCTCTGGTAATTTAACATAGCCATGGAAAATGGCCCATTTATAGTTGATTTATGTACCTATTAAAAATGGTAATTTTCCATGGCTATGTTAAAGAACCAGAGGGTACAACTTATGCTTGTGCGAAAATCGTGTACCCCCAAAATCTCACGGTTCACAACATCAGGCTCCGAATGAAAATATTGCCATTTCTTAAGGAACAAATCCGTCATGATCTTGGGCAAATCCCCATACATCGCATAAAAGGTTGTATATCTATCTATCTATCTATCTACCTACCTACCTACCTACCTACCTACCTATCTATCTATCTATCTATCTATATATATATATATATGTTATACTATTATATTATGATTATATATATATATATATGTGTGTGTGTGTGCACGTATAATTTTAGTTATATATATATATAGTTATATCATGTTACATCATAATGTCATCCTATAAAATCTCCCGAGTATGGTCGCTTGTGTATCCCCCGGGTAAGCCCCGCCACCGTTGCCGCGCTCCTTCTGTGGCCCGGGTGCCGCAGCCGCCGGCGCGGCCGGGGCCGGTGCCGGTGCGGCCGGCGCCGGGGCCGCCGCGGCCCCGCCGGCCGGGGCTTGTTGGAAGGCGGAGACCGCGCCCTGGCGGGTGGAGGCAGTGGAGGACATGGGTTGGGCAAATCCATAGGTCAGGGATTTACACGGAACTGATATAACTGGGATTTCTAGGGATGGAACTTGGATGTAATTTGATATTATGTTGTGACAGAGAGATGGAAAAATCACCATGAGAGTAGCAGTTTCTTGCTGGTAAACCAGTGCTTTTGAATCTTAGTGAGATCAACTTCCCGATCTAA